TTGGGTTCATTAATATCTACGTGAATGAGGAACACTCCCTTAAAATTACAATTTTCTAACTTTTCAGGTTCCCGAGTTAGCGACTTACCCGGAAAAAAACTTTCACGAGCTCGCACGTGGGTATCACGCATAGTCGGGCGCTGGGTTTGAAATCATTAATACCTATTAGGACGGGGAACATCCCCTTAAAATTCCTGTCTTCTAGCTCCTCCGGCTCCCGAGTTATCAACTTACCCGAAAAAAAATTTTAGCCGGCCCGTACATTAGTCCCACGCGTAACCGAGAGCTGCGTTTGAGTTCATTAATACCTATTTGGACAGGGAACATCCCCTTAAGATTTTAGCTTTCTAGCTTTTCGGGTTCCGGAATTAGCAACTTACCCACAAAAAACTTTCGCGGGTTCGTACGCGGGTAAGACTGTCATTTTGGGAACTGGGGCCCGTACATTCATGTAAACTAAGTTCCCGATGTTTCATCCCTGTAGCTTTTGTAGGTCTCGCGATGAAATATTGGTACAGTGGCCTAGTGCACACATAGACAATCTCTCGTCAATATGTGTTTTCTGCATTGCATTGCAGCAAAAAACGCATAAAAAATGACGCGTGACGAATTCACAGATGATCATTAGTTATCCGGAATTTAAAACAGACCTCAGCAGGTTAGGCATCAAATCGCTTCGATGCTTCTCATCAATCACGGAATTCTGGTCGTCTATAGTAAAACAGATAAGTTCATTGAGAAAAAGCTTCTCGTCCACCAAATTTTCGAAATTTCCCCTGAAAATATACCGCACAGTTGAGTAAGCACGACAACGCTCTTACAATTTCTCAAGGATAAACCAGAAAGGCGAACCTATAAGGTGTGAGATATTTGTACTTGTAGCTGAACAAGCACTTCACTGCCAGCTTCTGAATGTGTTCGTCGGCAACCAATAAAAGCTTAAAGAATGTAAATTACAAATAACCAGAATATCGGAAAGATTTTTAAAATCAATGTTCTGGCACAGTACAAATGCATTAATGGTGTAGTGCGTCATAACGCTATCGCAAGCAAGTGTTGCACGTCTTATAACTCCAGAACTGCAAGTCTGATGTATTTGAAGCGCAGAAAGTGGTAACACACGAAACCGAAGAAGAGAGTAAGTCCTCCGTCGCCTTTTGTCTCAAATTACAAAATTCTAGAATGATGCACGAACTAAGCAATTTACAAGCCCTCTTCTACTTCGGTAAGAGCGACAGGATCCCGAAGATACGAAAAAAGTGCAAAACAGTATCGCGAGGTAAAGTAACCAAAAAAAAAGCAAAAAATTGTATGAGTTCGGAAATCCTCGGCTGAGTTAAAAAGTGGGAAAATGCAAGTGCAGAGGAATGCTATTTGAGCACACAGGAGATAGAAAACAGGAAGCAGTGGCAAACAAGACATGCTCTCTCGTCTGAAACCGAACCGTTCATTGCCGAAGGTCGATTTTGAAGATGAGAGGGTGAGGGAGGGTAATTTTGCGGGAAATATCGGTGTTCCCTCAAATTTTGCTAATAATATTCTGATATCCATACACAATTAAACACATACAAACTCAAACACACGCACAAAAAGGAATGAAAGTGTGTTTTGTGCTGCTGTTACACAGCGAAAAAAGCATAAAAACAAACCCTACCTCGTCATACAAGTTCCGAATTTCTTCAGCCATATGTATTGTTTTCGGTGTTTTGAAATTCGCGAACACTTCCAGAAGAGCAATTACTGTACGTCTGACCATTTTTCGCCCAATGCAGGGCCCATCGATGTTCAGTTCATCCGAACTGACTGAATTTTTTGTTCCTTCATCAGCGAGTAATTCTTTACCGTTTTTGTTCATACATTCCCTACAAGAAAAAAAGCGATCGAAATAACCGCGAATAACTGAAAATTGTGAATTTGCGAAAGAAAAGCAAAGATGAAGTGGTGTGAAAGATGGACCAGATGTCTTATTCCCACACGAGGAAAAGTAGCTTGCTGAACCAGTTGTAACTAAGAATTAAACAAAATAACAAACGGTAAATTTTGGAAAAAAAAATGAAATTTCATAAAGCAGTTAAAGCCGCATGCATTTTCGCGGGGGAGAATGACGCTTTAAATAAAAGAAAACGAACGTGTCAAGATGATCATCTGTGACTACTTCGGCCTCATCGTCATCTTTATCAGTGCCACGCTCAACAGGTTCCGACGAAGCTGCTAGAATGTTTTCTCGCTTTTCGAACAATTTCCCATTTTGGTATTCATTTCTAAAAACCATTTCGTGTAAATCCATCCTTTGCAGCTACCTGCTAACGTAAAGTGTATTCATTCCACAGAGATTTAGAACCCCTTCTTAGCAATCATTTGTTACAGGATATTGTGCGCCGAGTGTTGGGTTTTACCCGTAACTTCATCAATCATTTAGCAGCCGAGTGATCCAGTTCCACAAAGAGTACTAACAAATCCTCTCTCTCTCAAAATGCACTACCAGTGCACTTGAAAAATCGTTGATTTCTTACATAGATTCAGTTTTCTTTCCCACACGGTCAACAACAGCCCAT